GGTCGTGAAACAATCCACAGTTAAAATTAAACTGCATCTTCTCTTAAAAATTGAAATGACTGTGTATATGGTTCTTTGATGTGAATTATAATTTAGTGTTAGCATTCCCTCATGTACTTCATATTTGTTCCTAGCAGGAAGTGACACCAAGTTTTGTTAAATGGAATCTCTGGCTTGTTTTTGTCCTAAAATCTGTAATGTGTTCTTAGTTTAAAAGCCTGCTTAACTGTGTATATGGTTCTTTGATGTGCATTATAATTTAGTGTTAGCATTCCCTCATGTACTTCATATTTGTTCCTAGCAGGAAGTGACACCAAGTTTTGTTAAATGGAATCTCTGGCTTGTTTTTGTCCTAAAATCTGTAATGTGTTCTTAGTTTAAAAGCCTGCTTAACTGCTGTTTCTACTTCACAAACAATATAAAATACGGTATAGAACTATTGGTTTAATCATTTGGAGATATATGGAGTGATCAAGTAAAGTCCATTCTTCTTTAAATCACAGTTTGGAAGAATGTTGGTCCAATGTGACATATGAATGTGACAACATCTATTGTAATGTTTGTATTCATTATATTTTATGTTCAATGAAATGATTACAGTTAACTAAATTTATGGGTACTATTATATGTGAAATTACATATACACACACATACATATAATAGATATATCTAACTATGTCCTGTATGAATAAATATAACTACCCAAGAAAATTATTAAGTAAAATATTGTGTAAACTTATATGTTGATTTAAACAGTGAGTGAAAAAAGGTTGAATAAGAAAAATTGATTATCGCTTAATGTTTGTTAAGAATTATTGCAGATTTCACTAAAGTAAAGCAAGACCTCAAAAGCAATGTAATTGTAGCATTTCATGTTGTCATGGAGTATTTGGAGTAAAAAATAGCAATTAATTGTAGACATTGACCTTTTAGAATGAAAACAAATCTTTGTTGGCAAAAATGAAGGGTAGTTTTCTCTTCTTTTTAGGTTTTATGGCAACTTGATATATTCCGTCGAAGTTTAAGAGGTCTCACAGGACATGTTTGTCAAGGTGATGCCTGCATATTTTGTGCTTTGAAGGTAACTCAGAATTTTCTTATCTGCCTTGTATAAATGAGGACTAATTTTGGCAGTGTAATTTTCATGAATTCTTTGATATAACACATATCTAATAAATTTTAAAATTGTAAATAACTTCTAAAAGTAGCATTTATTAATAGTTTCAATTGCTTTTAATCAAATATTCTGTATATAAGTCCTGAAGCAGAGAGAGGCATTTTTTTTCTTTCAAAGGATATGTTTCTTCTGGTGTAATTTGTTGATTACCATATAATAATGGTAGCATTGTAACATTCATCAGAAAACCTTTTTTTCTGATACCCTTTATTTCCCAAAAACTGGTGGCTCCAGCTAAAAGATAAATAATCCATGGCAGATACCTGGACTCATTACTTGTACAGGTGTTTTGAAAATAGGTTGAGAGGTGCATGAATCATCTTAAGGGATACAGATTGTCTACCTTTTGTCTAAAACAGATGTAGATTAGTAAAGGAAAAGAACTGGAAAAGAAAAACAAGTAAGTGCCATTGCTGGATATCAGTTCGTACTTCGTTCATGACTAGGAATATTATGTTGACTCATTTTTTTGCTGTTCTTGCTTGACTGCATATAGAACCCATGCTCAGAGTGAGTATACCAGTTGCTTAAGGAGAGAGTGAAGATACAGCTTTCATGCCATGGTTATAAGAAAATATAGTTAGCCACTGTGGGAATTGAGTTGCTGCAGTATACTGAGTGTTGATCAGTTGGCCTTTTATGATTTCCTCACACTGCAACAGGAGCAAACTCTGTTGCCACTGTGGCTCAACCTCTCTGATCTCTTGTTGAAAGTTCTATTTTCAGTGAGCTCAAGATGTCAAAAAAATCTTTGATGGAGAAAAAAATAATTAAATTTTATATATTTCTAGTGATGATAAAAAACGTAATAGGCTATTTCACGTATAATTCTTTCTTATTGGAAGGAGTAAGCACAAATATGTTTGAGTATGCCACACAAATTGCCCCAGATTTGTTCTTGGCTTATTAATGTGATTTGATAGCAGAGGAAGCAGCAGGATTCCTATTCAAACATATTGTAAACAGCCATGGATGCAGATTTTGGGCTCGTTAACCTCTCAACTTGCAGGAGGAACAAAACAGAAGTAGATTATGGCTTATAATGAGTGAACATGTTCAGTATTATGTGTTGGATACATGTGCTATGTTCAAAATAGCCATCATTGCAGAACTTTGGTCTGTATTAGATAGGGAACAAGTTGCCTTTTAGCTGTTGAATGTGAACTTCCAGAAGCCATAGTCAGCTAATAGTAAAGGATTTTAGTTCTAGTTCAGCAGCATCTGGAGAATCACAGGTTCCCAATACCACCTCTAGGTGCTGGAGCCTCTGTTATGACGTATTCAGATATACTGTACTGTTCCCAATCAGTTAATAGATAAAAGTATAAATATTGCTGTTGAATTCCAGACAATATTTTCCCAATTCCAACACAGTCGAGAAAAAGCTCTCCCATCAAATAACATGAGACATGCCTTGGCTGAAAGTTTTAAAGAAGAACAGCGATTTCAGCTTGGTTTAATGGATGATGCAGCAGAATGTTTTGTAAGTATCATAATATTAAAGTATTTTTAGATACAGTTTTGATTGTTGAAATGGCTGTAGAAGAGCCATATTTGATATTTCAGTGAAAAGTCTAATAAACTTTAGGAAAGAATGAGTCAGTTTAGGCCCATACGCTGTTAGACTCTAAAAAGTGCTGTATCAACAATGATAATCCTTTTTTGAAAGATTATAAATAAAGGTAATTTGCAATATGAAAAAAAATACTTGTTTGAGCTATTGTATACACCCAGTTAGATAGAATTGGGTCATTATTTCACTTGACACAAAGATTATAATTCTGGATGCAATAGGGGATCCTTTAGTTTGTTTCCAATGGCTACTGTTCCTTCATCCTAAGCGTAGGAGCCTAGAGCAAAGGAGTGTGGTTTATTTTAGAGTGAAACAAAGGTTGTTCTTGCTGAGATAAAAATGGCTATATTCAAACATATATGCAAGCCATCTGAAGGCTTAATTGGTGAAATGTTTGACAACCTGAAGGGCCAGGTTGGGGACAGATAACATTTGCATATGTCTCCCTATGAGGCCTCTTAGAGTCAACACCAACTTGATGGCATGTCGTCATCATCATCATCATCAAAATAAATCAAAACATTTACTTGTTTAGGAGAATATCCTTGAGAGGATTCACTATCACATAGTACCAAGCAATGGAACAGATATGTGTACTTCTAAATCCTGCATAACACATCAAAAGTTTGCTATGACATTATATGAACAGGTAAGATTTTTGTTCATATTTATTTAATTCCTTTGACATTTTAAAATCTCTAAAAATTAAGACTTTCTTTTATTTACAGTGTGTATGTTGTACTTGTGGGGCATCTTCAGACCCTTTGCCTTTTACAGAATTTGTGCGTTACATTTCAACAACAGCATTATGGTAAGAAAATGTCTTTGTGCTTTGTCTTTTTCTCTCCATTGTTCTCATAAGTTGACAATTTTAAATTCTAGTGAGAAGTAGAGCTTAGAGCAAAGATACTAGCTTTGATGAATGACCCAATTACCTCTTTATCATGTTAAAGCTGAGGAACATTCACATCCAAATGTGTCATCAGTTAGTAGGGGAGGGATATATTTATGTTCCAAAATTGCCATAATATTTGTTGTCAAATGAGAATGAAATATCTACTAAAAGTAAACTTGGATGATGTTGATTGGTAAAGTCACTAATGCATTGAGCACAATAGCATGTATCACATGCTCAACGTCTGGTGATTTGATGGACAAGTCTACATAAATTTCTTCACAACTGTGCAGAACTGGTTTGCGCTTGTTTTCTTAGATGTTTTTCCAACTGTCTAGCTTTACAGCATTAGGATTTTCTGGTGCTCCCTCACTGAAGTAGTAACAAATTCTGCTTACCTTTTTAAGGTTCAGTAGTTGTGTATGGTGGCAGCTTCTTCTGACCTTGTCTGGGCATGATCAAATCTTGTTTAAGGTTACTAGATCAGCCTTTATTTCCATTCTTCAGGAACGAAGATAACAGCTTGAACTAATAGGAAGTTGCTTCCTCCCAGATGATGGAAATCAGAATTTAACTAAACTATATCACAAGGCACAGCAAAGAAAATTTTGGAATAAGCTATCCTATTGTCGTACATGGAGTGACTTCCCATCAGTCCAAGCTGTCATCCTGTTTCTAATAGAATGGACATTTAGAGGTAAGCTAAATGTATCCTTTCAACCAGTATAATCTTATCATTTTGATGGAATGGGCTAGTAAACATAGTTTTTAGACATCATCACATTTGCCAAATGTTAAGCCCATAAATAATGCTTTCTTCAAATGAAATGTCTAGGGAATGTTGAAGTATAGCATTTAAATGTTTTACTTTGTCAATGTAATCCAGCCATTTTTAAGCATAATGGGGATGTTTACTTTGCAGTACATTTGCATCATAATGATCAGAATTGTTCAAACCATATTTTGATTTCCAGAAGCATTTTTTAAAAAATTACAGTCATAATAATAATAGCAAACTGTTGCAGTTTTGAACAGAGCTCAGTTCATAGGCTGCTAAAGTGCTCTGTGTGGTTTTAAGCTCCAAGCACCTGATTTGCTTGAAAATATATACATTCATATTTACATAATACATTTTCTTTTCTTGTACCTTTCTGTATTTGTAATATCCTGTAAGATTTGCAGAGCTCTAAATAGATGTAAATTTGTAAAAGAAATACACTTTTTTCTAATGTTGCTCACCTTCTTTAATGTAAACAGTAAAATGTCCACCCTCAACCATGGAGGTTCACTGAGCAAATTCCAGTCATGATCTCATCCCAACCAACCACACAGGGTTGTTGTGTGAAAGAATAGGAGGAACAAGTGCTGCATATGCTACTTGAGCTCCTTCGTGAAAATCAGAATATAAATCTAACAAATATAAATATAACATTTTGTTTACTGCAGTAACAGTATGGGTTAAATCAAAATATTTCATTTACAGCAATGAAATTGATAGAATGGTGGAAAGGAATGAACGATTCAAACCAGAAATGTTTGCTGAACTGCTTCAGACTGCAAATACTACGGATGACTTCAGGAATTGTCCTGTAAGTTTACCAAAGAAATATTGTTTTTCTATTTTGATGTGAGGTTGTTTTTTTTCCCCCTGATAGTGATAAATCCAAACTTTTCATGTTAAGTACAAAAGTTTTTTGTTTTTTTTTTAAATTTGGCTTGATAGATCAATGTAGCATACTATAATCTGCCTTTAAACACATAAACTGTAAATCAAATTAGTACATTTGTTGACATATAAAATTAGGACAAAATCCTGGGAAAAATAACTCCTTGAAACAATATATGAGGACCATTAATTATTTGTTCTTGGCTCTCAGAAAAAATAGTTGTTTGAAAAAGGTAGGATATAATTGTTTTTTAAACTAATGATTATCTCAAAATTCATTGTGCAGATAGTCTTTATATTACTGAGTATAAAAACGATCATTTTGGAGAATTTGACATTAAAATAACAATTGTCATTTATACATTTCTGGTAAAAATCTTATAGCTTATTGATATACATAACAATTAATTGAAATTAAATAATTTAGTTTTATAAAACACAGTGGTATACCTTAATAGTTATTAAATTAGATTATCTTACAATTTGTTTTTATAATAGTTTTTTTCTTGAGTAGTTTTTCCATTATGCCTATTTGAGAGTTGCAGAAATATCTGTCGCTGTGCCATAGCAGTGATCAAAAACCAAATTACAGTAATTTATTTTAGTCTCTACAGAAACTTACTTTAGAGAAAAGCAGCAGGAAGCTCAGATGAATTGCTGCATAATTGCCAACATATTTAAGTTTAGTAACTGACCATTTAGATTAGAAATAATGGAACATGATGTGGATAAGCTGGAGATCTTGTCTATAATAAAACATACTCTAAATGAATTTTATGTGGTTTATAAAGATCTTGATATTCAAAAGCATCAAACCTTACTATTTATCTCCTCTTCTCTTTTGTAGAGCAACTGTGGCCAAAAAATTAAAATCCGTCGTGTTCTAATGAATTGTCCAGAAATTGTTACAATTGGATTAGTCTGGGATTCTGAACATTCTGATCTGCCAGAAGATGTCATCCGGAATCTGGCCACACAACTTTATCTTCCAGGGGTATTGAACATAATAATCAATACAATAATTTCTTTGCCCTCTCATATGTATTAAAAGAACTTTGAAATTTCTGAGAACAGGGTTCTCTGTCTTGTCTAATAGTACAGTCCTATACTCAGAAGAAACCCAATCAAATGAAGTTGGGATTTCTCCCAGAAAACCATGCATAGGATTGCAACTTGAAATAAAAAGGATTTTTAAAAAACTTTATAAATAGCTTGCACTTGAAATGGCCTCTGTTCATTCATTTACCACAATTTTTAATAGGGCTACAGTTTTTTTTAATTTAAAATATGTTTCATCTTGTGTTGGATGTTTAAAAAAAGTCAGAATACAACTTTTAAAATATGTGCTGCAGCTAATAAGAACAAAATAATAAAAATGTATAAATGAATACATAAGAATGTGTATGTCTACTTATTATAGAATGTATAAAACACTTCAATAATAAAATAGCAGAAACAGAGATTTAAAAAACTTAAAATTCAAGTTTTAAGTAAAATTCAACTTAAAACCACAAAATGGTTAACACATAATCAAAAGGTACATTCTGAAAAGTCCAGCCAAATAGTAGCATGTTTCCCTAGCTTATCATCAACAGTATCATCAACTCAAAGTATGAATCTTTGAGAAGGACATTCCAGAAATAAGATTCTTCCAGGTAAAGTTAATAGACTAGATAAGTATAGTCCTTTTTACAATCTGCTTTTAGGGACTGATTTTCAGTGCAATACTGAAAAATATTGCTCCAGTTTTTATAATTAGAAATCTGTAGAGATTTTTGAATAAATGGGATTATATTTACTCTATAAGCTTTACAAAGAGAATACAGTATTCCTTTTACCTTACTTGATGTCTAAAAAATGTGACACCGCAGCCTCAAGCTCTCTGAAGAGTTATATGGCCATTCTAGGTGCTCTAACATAAAGATCTGTATTTTTCAAACGACCAGATGCTATTATATATGCATGGTAGCTCTTTAAATATTAAAAAGAGAGAGAAATGGGCTCTCAACACCAGCTGTTTATGACGGAGTTGGAGAGGTCAGCATCCTAGCCAAAATTATTCTGACTACTTTCTATCTTGCCTAGGATCTACTGGAAGATAAATACATAATATAGACCTATCAGGATTCCAGGCAGAATTTGTTTTAACTTCTAGAAGCTATTCATTGGTCATTCCTGCTTATAGGCTGGAAGACTCAGACCATCAATCTAAGTGATGAGAGCTGAATCAAACAGAACATAACATTTCTAATGAATAAATCAGTTTAAAACCATCTTTTTAAAGGAATCAAGTTTGAACCTGGGAAAATAACCTGCTCAACTAGAACCAGAGGGGTAATGCAGAGTGCCAAATGACATGTCCTGGGAAAATACTTGGCAGTGAGTGCTGCCTGATTAATTGTTTAGTTTATTAATTAACCCGCTAATTGTTTAATTACTAATGGATTTTAAAATAATTTTATTTAAAATACTTCCAATTAAGTGGAAAACTTTGGCAAACTGTATATTGGTTTGTTTACAGATAAAATTCCTATATGTATATTAAAAGTTAATAATTTAGAATATAAAAAGTACAACATTTGATAAATATTATAGCGTATTGTCACCAGTTAAGATTAAAAGTACAATTCTATAGCCAATTACACAGAAATAAGTTCACTGAAAATAACAGGATTTATTCTAAATAGGCATCTCTAAGATTACAGTATGCTGATGTCAAAGAATAATTGAAATGCTTTAGTTTCTATGCTTTGCTAAATGCAGTTATAAACTGGATAAAATCTTTCAATTTGGTTATGTAAATTTGTTATTTATCCTCAGCTCTACTTCTTATTAGCTTACCTATCTATCATTTTTACAGTTGTTTTATAGGGTTACTGATGAACATGCCAAAAACAGTGAGCTTTTTCTTGTGGGGATGATATGCTATGCAAGCAGACACTATTGTGCCTTTGCCTTTCATACCAAGAGTTGTAAATGGGTGTTATTTGATGATGCTAATGTTAAAGAGGTAAGTTAGTTATGATATTGTATTTTATATGGAGGCATTCAGATATTTCCTAAAGATAATAAGAGATAAAAATTTAATATAACATTCTGACAGTCTTAATTTTGATATGAAGATAATACTTCACGTTTCTAAGCATGTACATTTTCTGACCTGAAATGAAAGATTTAGTTTTTGTTCTAAGTCATGCAGGGAATTTGCTGCCTCACTGACATGCATTACAAAAAAGGACCATTATAGTTCTTATTTTTCACATGTCTAAACTATTTAAGGAAATTTTAATTTGTTTGAATGTATACATTCACGTCCAGTTTATTTTTAATTGTATTATGACTTTTTCTTACCTGAATTAAGTGATTACTTCTGCATTTGGGGGAAATCTTTTTTAGGTTGGAACAAAATGGAAAGATGTGGTGTCCAAGTGCATTCGGTGTCACTTTCAGCCATTACTACTATTTTATGCAAACCCAGATGGTACACCAGTATCAACAGAAGATGCACTTCGGCATATAATTCACTGGTCACATTATAAAGCCTCTACAGGCAATGGAGAAGAACTTGGTAATAGAAACTTGAATCTTTACAAATTCATACTTATTTAGTAATATGAGGAGGTGCTTAATGTAGTGGTGTTGATATATGGAAAGGTGGCCTACCAACATTATATTCCCACTCATTGGGTTGTACCTAGAAGTCTTCCCTGGTTTTATCCTCAGACTGACTATGTGGCAGGTGGGGCTAGAGACAGTCAGTGGCCCAGAATTTTCCAGCGAACCACATGATTTGTTTTATTTTACTTTATTTTTGTAATTTAGCAAATTTATATACCCACCCATCTCACAAACATGACTTTTGGCAGCATGCAATAAACAAACACTTAAAAACAAGTATAAACAACCATTAAAAATAATTAAGCATCAATATAACTAAGACCGCAGAGAATGGACCAACATCCTAAACACAGTATAAGCACTTTGCAGCTGCCTGTTCCATTGGATCCTCAAGGCTACTGGAAAAAACATGTTTTAAGAGCTTTCCAAAAGGCTAATAGGATCGGGGCTATTGGTTGAATGAGTGCTTGAACCTTGGTGATGTTACATTAATGTATTAATGCACAATTTCTTGAGGTCGTGCTAGGGATAGATAAGTTGCAGGACCTTTAGTTATCAGGAAATTAATAAGCTGGGTCTGAGGGCTATTTAATTTTTCAAATGGAATGGAGTTCAGATATTAAATGGCAAAATGAATACATGATTTTTCAAAATGCATTTTTAATTTCAATCAAATGTAGTTTTTAAAAAAGACTAGATTTCTCAAATAATAACTAAATTAATATTTTTGAAATCTAGATTTTGTTAGTCTGAAATGGAATCCTACTTTAGATTTATTTGTAAAGGATGAGCCTTGATCATTCTTCAAATATTTTTCCTATTGTATTTAAACTATGTAGTGTGCCCAGTATAACTTTTATTCAGGCATTTATTTTTAATTTGTTAGGCAAAGTATTCATTAGAAAATCAATTTTAGAGCTAAAATACTGTAAGTAAACTTTTTCTTCTTAAAAGTAGTTATCTTTTTTAACATTCATTTTTCCTAGGGTTTGAGAAATCTACTTTTTTTAAATCAGATTGTGTAAAGGAGAATGGATTTGAAGAAACTGTTAACCAGAAGAGTAAAAAAAGTCAGCTAGAAAACTCTGCCTTTGCTCGGAACTCTACTCAACCTACTGGTGTCAGAGGGTCAGGTACATATACACATTTTTTAAAATTACTAGGTTGAATTATAGTTGGGTTAATTACAAGGTTGATCATACATAATTTTTGGTTGGGTCTTAAAAATGTATCTACTACAAGTCATTATACATTATATAAACTAGTCTACATAAAAAGTCCAGCTAACTACCATCTACAGTGATGCTTAAAAGTTTATAAACCCTTTTGAATTTTCAATATTTCTGCATAAATATGACCTAAAGCATGATCTGTTCTCCACACAAGTCTTAAATCTAGATAAAGAGTATCCAATGAAACAAATGAATCAAAAACAATATTTGGAATTAGTTTCTAGTGGTCTGACTATTCCAAATCTGGTTGAGTGTGGAGAGTATAATATTTAAAAACCTAGATTGTTTTGGGAATTAATGGGTTCTTACCACAGAATTTAGAATATAGTTTCCACTTTCTCCTGGTAATAGTCTTGTTCCTTCATCCCTGGTCTGGTTAAGCTTTTGAAAGTGGGAAGATATGAGAATGAACCCATATATGCTGCTGCTTAGGTTTATCGTTTTCACTAGGTTCTTTGGGAAAAAAAAGAAACCTCAGAAATCTTCTCCAAAGTCTCTGAAGAAAAATAGTCGTGGGAGGCAAGGCACACAGGGGATA